CTCTCAATGTCTCTTCCATTGTCTTGTGTGTGTGCTTATGCCAGTGACATAATTGATTTCTTTGTGTTAGAATGACGCTTGAAATCAAGAAGGGGGATGCCCCCTGATTTATTCTTTCTTGCGTTGGCTCCATGGGGTCTTTTTTGTGGTTCCAAATAAATTTTAGGATATGATTTTGTAATTGCATAAAAATTGCATCGGAGTCTTGATAGAGATTGCACTGAATCTCTAGATGGCTTTGGGTAATATGGACATTGTATCTGTATTAATTCCTCCGAAAGTTGGACATGGGATGGCTTTTCACTGACTTGTGTGTTCTCCCCTTTCTTTCACCCAAATTGAATTTCTTCCATTCCTGCACACAGGTTTTATACTTTTCTGTAGAGAGATTTTCGTTTTCTTGGCTAAATATATTGCTATAATTTTTATTGTTTTTGATGCTATTGTAAATGGGATTGTTTTCTTTACTTCTTCTTAGATAATTGGGTTAGTGTATAGGAATGATACAGAATTTGATACGGTGACTTTCTAGTTTGGAACTTCACTGCATTTGTTGATTAGACATTAACAGGTTCTTTAACATTAAACTTTTTATTTCAGTCCTTTACCTAGTTTAAAAAAAAAAACACCATGTTATTTGGGAATAGCTGACACACTACGTTACATTAGTTTCAGAGGAACAACATAGTCATTGGACAAATGTATACATTCTGCTACGCTAACACAGGTGTAGCTATCATCTGTCACCATGCATCTCTACTCCAGTACCATTCTCTATGTGCCCTATGCTATATCTTCTATGTGTGATTCATTCATTGCATAACCAGAAGCCTGCATCACCCAATCCCCTTCACATATCTAGGGGATCCTTGTCTTGTGCCTGATCTTAGGGGAAAATCTTTCACAATTACACTATTGACCTGTCAACACAGAATTTTAAAGAGATTTTTACCACAAGTGGATACCAAATTTTCTCAGAAGGCTTTTTCTGTGTCTATTGACATCATCCTATGAGTTTTCCTTTTCCTTTTTAACATGTATTTATTTAGTTTAGTTTAAATGTATTTATGTATTTCTTTAGTATTCATTTTAAGATTTTTTAATTTAAATTCCAGGTGGTTAACATACAGTGTAAAGCTAGCTTCAGGTAAAGAATGTAGTCATCCAACACTAACATACAACACCCAGTGATCCTCAATATTAGTGCGCTCCATAGCCGATCACCCATTTAACCCAGCCCCCTATGCCACCTCCCTGGCGACGTCCATGAACCGAACCCTAACCCTAGGTAAGACTCTCTCCCCATGGGGACCCAATTCCAACGTCTCACAACATCACTGGTCTGAGGTTCAGAACCGGTGCAGACTGACTCGGCATGGAACCTGGAAGCACCCCATGTCGTTTCTCAGGCCCGGCTACAGCAGCACGAGAGGTTTCCGGAGGTCTCCTCGACCAGGGGCCTATTGACGTCTGTGGCCTTGACAGCCAAAGACGGATCCTGACCGGCACCGTCCCTTGTGCCCTCAACTCAACGCTTCGCGGAAACCACTGCCCAACTATGCGTTCGGCGCCTTTAGCCTCCTGGGTGTTAACCCTAAACCTAACCCTACCCCAAACCGGGACCCTCCACGGAAACCTAAGCATGCCTCGATCCCTAACCGTGCAATTCACCCGCCTTCTGGCACGGGCCCTCACTTCAGCCCTCGAGGGAGATCACGAGAACGGAGTCGCTTCGGCCCTGGCGACGTCACTAGCCCGAACCCTAACCCTGGCTAAGGCTCTATCCCCATGGGACCCAATTCCAATGTCTGACAACATCACGCGCCAGGAGTCAGAGGCGGGGCAGGCTGACTCGGCATGGAAGCTGGAAGCTCCCCATGTCGTTTCCGAGGCCAGCCTGCAGCTGTCCGAGAGGATTCCGGAGACCTCCTCGACCAGGGGGGATCGACATGTATGGCCTTGGCAGCCAAAGACGGATCCTGACAGGCACGGTCCCTTGTGCCCTCAACTCAGACCTTGGCAGAGACTACTGCCCTGCTGAGGGTACGGCGCCTGGAGCCTCCTGGAAGCCAACCCTAACGCTAAACCTAACACTAACCCTAACCCCTAACACTAACCCTAAACCTAACCCTAACCCCTAACCCTAAACCTAACCCTAAACCCTAACCCTAACCCTAACACTAACCCTAACCCTAACCCTAACCCTAACCCTAAACCCTAACCCTAACCCTAACCCTAACCCTAACCCTAACCCCTAACCCTAACCCTAACCCTAACCCTAACGCAAACAACTGCAAGGATTTGGTTTCATTGCATGGAGCCTCCTGGGACCTAACCCTACCACTAACCTAACCCTAACCCTAAACCTGACACTAACCCTATCCTGAACTCCTAACCCTAACCTTAACCTTAACCCCTATCCCTAACCCCTAACCTATCCCCAACCCGAACCTAACCTGAACCCGAACCCGAACCCGAATCCTGAACCCAACCCAAACCCTGACCTGAACCCTAAGCCGAAACCTGAACTGGAACCCGAACCCAGAAACCTGAATCTTGAACCAAACCCCGAACCCTGAACCCCGAACCCAAACCCTGAACCTCAAACCCTAAACCTGAACCCAAAACCGAACACAAACTTTGAATCCGAATCAAAACGGAACCCAAACCCTAACCCTAACCCCGATAGACTGACCCAAACCCTATCCCTAACCCTTTTATAAGCAAGAGTTTTCACATAAAAATTCATATTCTCTGGGCCTTTGAGCGTGCTGACAGTACCTGGCCCCCTTTCCCACGTCAAGCTGACGCTGAGTACCACCATTGCTTCAAGTTGAGAGAAATCCCATTCACCAGTGTCCACTGTTCCCTGATGTCCTCAGCCAGAGCCCTCACGTTAGTTGGCACACATCGCGTACTGCTGGCGCTGTTTTCTCAAGCCATCAGCTTCCAGTTCCTTCTTCCTGTGAGCTTGTGTCTGGGGCCACTGGTCCAAAGTGAAACGTGCTCTGGCAGAGTCGGCAGAGGGCGCTGTGGGAGCGCAAGGGAGATGTGCCGCAGGCACCTTCAGGGTGTTGTCTGTACCTTCCTCCACTGGTGCAGAGGAGAGCAGGCCCAGTCAGCGCATGAATTCCTGGGATATACCTACACTGTTCATTCAGTCATGGGTGATTTACTCATTCATTCAAGCACACATTCAGCAAGTGGTTAGTAAATATTTGCTGTGTGTTTGGCACTGTGCCAGGCCCTGTCCTTAGCTTCCAAGAGTATAAAGTGTGTTTAGGAATTCAAGATATAAGATTATGTCCCCACCCTTTATTTTGTCTCATTCACCAAGCTCCTACAACATCTAGCACTACTTTCTGGCACATAGTAGGTGTTCTACCCATACATGCATTAGTGAATGAAATGATAACTAATAAGAATGCCTCTCATTTACTGAGCTCTTCCACGTTTACATGTACTGTCTCCATTTTCAAGATAAGTTGTCATTTTCCTGTTTTAATGTTAAAGAAGTGAGGCACAGAGAGGTTATTTAAACTGCCTGAGTTCACACGGCCAGTCTGAACTCTTAGCCACAATTCCATGTGCCATCTCAGCAGTGTAAGGCAGGACATGCTCAGGGCCAAGGTGTAGCATATACAGGGGCTGCCTCGGACTTTCAGAAGGCTGAACAGTCAAGATGGGTTGAGAAGGGAGGGAAGGTTTCATGAAGTCTGGACAGAGGGGAGATACTGGACGGAACATGAGGTTAAGGGTCAGCATCCATACAAGTCCTCCAAAATGCTTCCTGGGTAGAGAGGGGAGGCTGTCAACAAGGACATGGTCCTTTAGCAAATGTGAGGTCTCCCATCTGCCAAGCCCTGGGCCGTGCACTCAGGAGGGTATGAACATGAAGAAGAGCCTACCTTGAGGATCCACAGGCAATTGTCAGACAAGGCAAAATATGTACATAACTGAACTGCAGGGGAGGAAGTGTTGAGAGCTGGAAGTGGAGTGAGAGGGGAGCAGTTTCCCAGAGGAACAGTTGTTTCCAATTGGAAAGACCAGAGCAGGCTCCTGGACAAGGTGGCATCTGAACTGAGCCGTGAGGGGTTGGTAGGACTGCAACCTGTCATGGATGAAAGGCACTCAGGTGACAGCACCAAAGACAAAGACCTGGCATGCATGTGGCAGGTGGCCCCTCTGTGACCCCAGGGTAAGAGGGTGGTGTGGGAGGGGAGGCTGATGGGGCAGGACAAGCGCTTCTGGAGAGTTCCGTGTGCTGTGCTAAGCAGCTCAGCTTTCTCCCCCGCAGGGCAGGGGAGGTTTGTAGCCAGGGAGGAACAGGTGTTGCCCAAGGAGAAGCTACATAAAAATATTTGTCTTATAGGTTGTAAGTTCCTAGAGGGCATGGCTCCCAGTTGGGAGGAAGATTTAGAACAGTAATGCTGAGGCCTCTAGAAACATGTTCACCCTGAGGATGTCTTGCTCAGACTGCAAGAGGGAAGTGTAATCAGAATCACCCTTAACCAGGAACCAGGATGTCTGGGCCCAGTTCCTCCTATGTCACCAACCAGGTGCCTCTCTGGGCATAGTTTCCTCATCTGCAATATGAAAGGGTGGAGCACCTCTAACGGCCCTCCTAACCCCAATTCATTCTCTATGAATCTAAGAACCCCGTGCCCACACCTCAGCCTCCAAGGAGTACTTATCACAGAGCCAAGCAGGCATGGGAAGGTTCAGCCACGCTTGCTGGGCAGCACACATGGGGAAGGCAGGGCCAGCAGCCACTGATTGACCCAACTGTAGCAGGAGTAGGGAGAGTGAGGGCTGCCAGAGGAGAGGCAGCCTGCTGGCTTGTTCAAGTAGGGCAAGGGATTGGGGTGGAGGGGAAGTGAGCTACCCAAACAGCTTCCTCCCAAACCAGCTCCAGGCCCAGGGATGGGCATTTCACAAAAAGGCCCAAGAAGCTTTGTGAACATTTCCTGTCCCGCCCAAGCCCCTTTCCTGGCACTGACAGCCCAACTCAGGGTTACCACACTGCTCACCTGTGAAGCAATCTTCCCGCGAGAGCTGACTATCCGGCCAGGGGCTGCCTATAAATGTTGGACACACGGGGTGCTGTCAAACCCCGTTGTGTGGCTCCTTGGCAGGTAAGTGAGCCATCAGCTTCCACAGGCAGGAGCCTGCCTGCCAACTCTTTCTTTACTTCCCCCACACACACACACCCATCTTCTTTCCAAGGACTCCTCCTGGAAGCCCTCCTCGATTAATCAAAATTTCCTCACATTTTCTTGGCTCATATTCTGCTGGAGCCTCTTGTCCTCAACTGCGCTGCTTTTTGGCATTTTCCAGATATTCTAAAACCATCCCTTCCATGTGTGGGGCAGCATCTTCTCTCAAATCACCTGGAGCCATTCTTTCTTTTACTTCTGTGTTTCCCCTTATGTTCCTATGGGCAGCCTGTGGGAGGTGTCAGGGAAGCTCAGCAGCCTTTTCTTCTAAGCACCTGAACCCCTGCATCTCCACTTTGCAGACAAGAGTGCAGGAAGATGGCGGACCAGCTGTCACAGATGGAATGCAGCATTGAGACCATCATCAACATCTTCCACCAGTACTCTGTGCGGCTGCCGCACCCGGACAAACTCAACCATAAGGAAATGAAACAGCTGGTGAAAAAAGAGCTGCCGAACTTCCTCAAGGTAGGCTGTGCTCCTCGCGGGCCTGACGCAGCCTGGAGACAGTCTGGGCTAAGGATGGAGGATGGGGTGCAGTCTGCAATGGTCAAGGAGGAAAGTCTAGCTCCTTCAGCCCAGCCTCCCTGTCACCAGAGTTACTCCAAGTTAGACAGCAGACAGAGTCGAGCAAGACTGACTTACAGATGTGTGCTGTGTGCAGGGCCCTGTCCTGGGCAGAGTCACATAGTGGTGAACACACAGCAAAGATGTTGGCCAGTAAAGAGCACAGGAAAATCCAATGCCAGTAAGTCCCCCAAAGAAAATAAGAGAGCATGCTATGGGTGGCGTGGGCTGGGTGGGGAAAGCTGACTATTTGGGTGGACAGGAAGAGCCCCTCCAAGGAGGTGATTTGAGCTGACACCTGAACTGAGGAGGGAAGCAACTGAGGACGACCCTTGGCAGGGGCTGGGCAGACACCAAACCTCAGCTGTTGTCAGAATGCAAGGGCTGAGGGGCCTTTCTAACCTAAGTGTCCGTGGAAACACAGACATTACATGTAGGAAGCACCCAGTGAGCAGTGGCAGGCACAAAGCACTCAGTAACATGTTCATTTATTCCCTGATCTGAAAATAACAGGCAGTTCTAGGAAAAAAAGGATTAGTTCCACTTGATCTTTCAGTTTCTTTATAAGATCGGGGACTTGGGGTACAGAGACCTGGACCAAGAAGGGTGAAAAGCCTGAGTCCCAGCCTCAGTTCTATTCCTAGAGCCAGTGGCAGCCTTCTCTGAAGCCTCGCCCCACTTCAGTAGTCAGTAGTGGGGATGCTGACACTGGGTCAAGGTGCATAAGACACTGGGAAGAAGGGTGCCAGGTCAGGATAAACAAGAAACAATATAGCCAAGAGTTCATGGGGTGAGGGTCTCCTCAGTGTGACTCCTATGCCTGCCCCACCACCCACCTCCTTCGTACTCTGCCAGAAGCAGAGTGGTAGTCCAGGAGGAGAAGCTGGGACCCAGCCAAGCAGCTGCTCCAGAGTGAGTGCTCTGGCCGGGCATGGGAGAAGGGCAGAAAGAGGGCTGTGTGGGAGCACTGCAGGAGTGGGAAGGGCCTGGGAACAGAGCTGGGCACCCGCAGGGTCCCAGGAGGGGACTTGGCTAAGCTACCCCAGCCAGTGGGTGGGACCAACTGAAGCTCTCTTCTGCCCTGCCTGAACCCTCCCTTGCCCTGGCTACTTCATCGCACCCTGTGGGGTCAATGGAGAGCCAACACTGACCTCTGTCCCCACCTTGCTTTCCTCAGGGGTTTCCCTACTATGCAGGTTAAAATGCAGATGCATGTCCCAAATGAGTGACCTAGAGAGGGAAGGGAGGCGAAAGGGGAGGGAGCAGGATGGACAGGTGGAGGGACAGGGCTCATTTCCACTCTGCGGCTCCCAACACTCCTCAATCTGCAAAAACCAGCTGTCCTTTTTTAAGTCAGTTTCCCCAAGTCTTCCTCAAAGAAGAGACAAAGTCCACCTGCTAGACTTGTTATAAAGACCAATGGGGTGACACTTCTGTACATACTAATTGTGTGACCTCAAGCAAGTCACTTGACCTCAGTTATTCTGTAAAATGGAGAGAATTGTAGTGCCCAGGTTGTATGCAGACTAAATCAGAACGTGTCCAAAGCGTGCTCAGCATCTGCTACCCTGTGGGCATCAGTCCATGGTCATTTTCAATTTTATAACTGAGGCCTAGGGGCCAGGCTTCCCTGTAGCTTTGCCTAGGGTCATTTGCTGAGCTCCCTGTCCCTAACGCTGGCCACACCCAGCCCTGACTGCCATGTCTCCCCCACCCACAGAAGCAGAAGAAGAATGACAATGCCATAAACAAGATCATGGAGGACCTGGACACAAATGGAGACAAGGAGCTGGACTTCGAGGAGTTCTCCATCCTGGTGGGCAGGCTGACGGTAGCCTCCCATGAGGAAATGCATAAGAATGCCCCTGAAGGAGAAGGCCACAGCCATGGGCCAGGCTTTGGGGAAAGTGGCCAGAGCCACTGCCATAGCCATGGTGGCCACGGCCATAGCCATGGTGGCCATGGCCACAGCCACTAAACAGGAGGCCAGGACACCCTTCCCCACCCAACTAGGATCACAGGGTGGCCATGCCAAACTGCCTTAGCTGGGGGACTGGGAACAGGGAGCAAAATAAAGTCTTCCTCCAAGCCAGTGCTCTGTGTGCTTCTTCCAACTCCCCCTTCCCAACCTATCCTTCTGGGGGCCTGGGTGTTACAGCCTATCCTTCTGGGGCCCTGCCCCTTAACTGGGGCTCAACCCCTTCATTTGGTAATAACAGAGTGAGAAATCATGATAATGTGGGTCTTTTCTGAGCCCTATTTCCTCACCTCTAACCTCAGGCCCCATGACTCAGTCTCAGTCACCCTACTCCAGCTCAAGACTTCCCTGTACTGCCTGTCAAATTGGCCCTTGTCTCCATAAAAAACAAAAGGGGGTATCCCTTCCCCTCAACATACCAGCCACCCCCTACCCAGCCCTGTCTGCCTCCTTCCCCCAGTACTCTCCAACATCTTCCACAACCATCTGTCTCCTAAGAGAAACTTATTTCTCTGGAAGTTGTCCAGAGGTGTACCTAGGAGCCATATCTGGGGAAGAATACTGTATTGGGTGTATTTACCCACAAATTAGGTTTTGAATCAATCCATGGGAGCAAATAAGTGTCTCTTCATAGACCTAGCATCCTCATCATGGATGGACACTGAGGCAGGTGCAGGCATGGATGAGAGTAGGGGAGTCTGGCCCTGTGCCCACCCAGTCCCAAAAGGATGGAGAGAGGGAACTCCTGCCTGCTTATTGGAAGAATGAGTTCCAATCATGGCCCTGCAGCTATAAGGCTTAGCCACCACCATGAGGAAGCTGGACTCTGGGTCCAGGGAGCCAATTGGGCCTGAGGATTTTGATTCTAAGCCTTAAGGCTCCCTTTGGTGACTGAGGCTCCTGCAGTCCCTGGTCAGTGGCTGAGAGTCCAGCCCAGCAGGGCATTTGTTTCCAGACACAAACACAGCAGCCGGGCTTGGCTCGCAGCTTCCCCACGAAGCAGCCTCCATGCCCAACCTCTCATTTCAGAGACTTCCAGATGACTCCTCTGACACCTCTGGCCTGAGTGCTTCACCATGAAGTCCCTTTCCCAGATTACCACCAGGCTAGGGTTGGCCTTCTGAAAACCAGAGCCCATATCAGGGTGTGTGCCCTGCCCTGTCCTTCCAGCAGAGAGAACGCTCCGAGAGATCTAGGATTTGGAGAGCTGGAAAGAGATCGGCAGTCATCTATCTCCAAAAATGAAAGGAGTGAGACAGAGAATGGAGAAGAGACCAATCGAAGGCCATAAAGTGGTGGAGCTGGCCAAAATAGTGCAGAAGGGAAAAGGCCTTGAACCCCATCTTTTCCTTGGGCTAGATGTCCCAGCTTCTTCCACACTGCTGAGCATGGGGACAATTGCAGTTTAGGTTCCATCTTCCCACACTGCATGGCTGTGGCCAGTTCCCAGGCTGTCTGCAGTGGACTGTGCATGTTTCTGACTTAAGGGCCCAGGGGCCTCTGCTATGGGCACAGGGATTTAATGGCTCCCACTTGAGGGAGTTTCCAGGGATTGCTACAGGCTGTGAGCTTGGGAAGCAGAGTTGTTTTTGCTTTGTTTTTGTTTTTGTTTTTAGATTATTTTTTTAAAAGAATTTTTTTAACGTTTATTTTTGAGACAGAGAGAGACAGAGCATGAACGGGGGAGGGTCAGAAAGAGAGGGAGACAGAGACTCTGAAACAGGCTCCAGGCTCTGAGCAGTCAGCACAGAGCCCGGCGCGGGGCTCAGACTCACGGAGTGCGAGATCGTGACCTGAGCCGAAGTCGGACGCTTAACCGACTGAGCCACCCAGGTGCCACTATTTATCTATTTTTTGAGAGAGTGCAAGCAGGGGAGGGGCAGAGAGACAGGGAGAGAGAGAATCCCAAGCAGACTCCACACTGCACAGAGTCCAATGCAGAGATCAATCCCACCAACTGTGAGATCGTGACCTGAGCTGAAATCAAGAGTTGGACACTTAACTGACAGATCCACCCAGGCACCCCAGAGAGCAGAGTTTAGAAGCCCCCAGTCCCTTCCCTGCCTGACTTCAGGAGCCAACAGCTCAGGAAATTCACCTCTGACAGCCCTTCTCCCTGACCCTCATGTCCAGGGAGGGGTCACCTTCTGGATGTAGCTTGTTAGGGGAAAGGGAACCAGGGATATGGGAGGCCTGGGGATACCCCAGGTAGAGCAGGTGACCCCACACCCTCTACCAACCCTCACTTTTCACAATGTGCCCTAAATATTTGTGACTCTGCCTCGCCACTAGACTGGGCCAAGTGTCTGCTTACCTCTGCTCTTGTAGGCGGTATGGAGAAAAGAAGAAGGGGGTGGTGGCATTAAAACTGGCAGATGGAAAGCTTCTGGATATCATCACAGAGTCTCACACAGGAAGGTAGGGGGCAGCAAGCCCACCACCCCCAAAGCTTTATTCAGTCATACCAGCCTTTATCTGTTGCACACTAGAAGCTTCCATTTGCAAAAAAAAAAAAAAGGGATTTGTCTTGAAAAAAGCTTGAAAATTGTTGCTTAAACCCAAACTTCCCCACCCCCATGCTTGATTGATTCTCCCCAACATCCCTAACAAGTGGCGATTTGGCCTAAACTCCACCAGGTAAAGGAGCATCCTAATGTGGCACCTAGAAGGTTCTTCATCACACCAAGCTAAAATCTGTCTTCTGCGCCTGCTGGGCATTAATCCTAGTTTCCCTCCCACATTCTTAGGGACACAGAATAAATCAAACCCCCTCCATCCATACAGCCACCCACCCACTCTTTCAAAGTATTTTCCGTAAGTGATATCCAAGCTTTCTTCAGCCTCTGCACCTTTACACCAGGAATGCTCTCACCACCCTGGTGTCTCTGGCAAATCTCTTAGGACCTGTAAAGGCCCAGAGCCTGTCACTGCCTTCATGAAGATGTCCCTGACAACCATTTCTGCAAACATATAGGGCCTTACCCCTCCTACCATTGCACTTCTCATACAGACTTGTAACCCCTTATCAAGTGTGATGATAGTCCTAAAGGCAGAAATTATGGCTGATTTGCCCCAAATCCCCAGGTGCTGGAATGAGCATTACAGATTAACAAGTGAAGGTAGAGGTCCTAGGACCCTGTGGAGATAGAGGGGTTGCTGGTGAGGGCAACTGAGGGGCAAGCATGTAGGGGGCAGAGCTTCATAGATGCCAAGAATTCTCCCCTTCCCTTCTCTCTCCACTAGCTCAGTCTGAGAGTGGGGCATGGTTTTAGACCCCAGGAGAAAGTTTAACAGTAAACCACTTTTACAGAGCCCTGTGGGGTTTTCCTTAAACATATTTAAAGAGAGTAATAAAGGTATTTTAGCCTTTTCCATCCCATCAGCCCCTTCCATTCCAAAAAGCTGACTCCGTAAATGATCCTAAAAGTTGCATGGAACTATGAAAGACCACAAATAGTCAAAGTAATCTTGAGAAAGAAGAACAAAGCTAGGGCACCTGAGTGGCTCAGTCAGTTAAGTGTCCAACTTCAACACAGATCATGATGTCTTGGTTCCTGAGTTCAAGCCCCGCATTGGCCTCTGTGCTGCTGGTGCAGAGCCTGGAGCCTGCTTCAGATTCTGTGTCTCCCTCCCTCCCTGCCCCTCCCCTGCTAGTGCTCTGTCTCTCTGTCTCTCTCTCTCTCTCTCTCTCTCTCATAAGTAAAACACGAAAAAGAAGAAGAGGGACAAGAAGAAGGAGAAGGAGGAGGAGGAGGAGGAGGAGAGGAAGAAGAAAAAAGCTGGAAGAAAGCTGGAGGTATCACAATCCCAGATTTCAGGCTATACTACAAAGTTGTAGTAATCCAAACAGTGTGGTACTGGCACAAAAATAGACATGTAGGGGCACCTGGCTGGTTCAGTTGGTTAAGACTTCAAGTGAGGTCATGGTCTCGTGGTTCATGAGATCAAGCCCCACATTGGGCTCTCTGCTGTCAGTGCAGAGCCTGCTTCAGATTCTCTGTCTCCCTCTCTCTCTGCCCCTCCCCACTATCAAAAATAAATAAACATTTAAAAAAATAGACACACACATCCGTGTAACAGGGTAAAGAGCCCAGAAATAAACCCATGATTATATGGTCAGTTAATCTATGACAAAGGAGGAAACATATACAATGGGGAAAGAATAGTATGTTCAACAAATGGTGCTAAAGAAACTGGAAAGCCACATGCAAAAGGGTTAAGTTTTTCTAACTTTCTTAATACTATACACAGAAATAAACTCAAAATGGATTAAAGACCCAAATGTGGCACCTAAAACCATAAAATTCCTAAAACACAGGCAGTAAACTCTTGGACACTGACCTTAGCAATATTTTTCTGGATATGTCTCCCCAGGCAAGGGAAACAAAAACAAAAATAAGCTATTGAGAATTCATCAAACTAAAAAGGTTTTGCACAGTGAAGGAAACAACCAACAAAACGAAGGCAACCTACTGAATGGTAGAAGATATTTGCAAATTATATATCTGATAAGGGATTAATATCTAAAATATATTACACAACTTATACAACTCAACACCAAAAACAAACAAACAATCGAATTAAAAAATGGGGCAAGGACCTGAACAGAAATTTTTCCAAAGAAGACATACAGGTGGCCAACAGATGGCCATGAAAAAAATGCTCAACATCACTCATTATTGGGGAAATGCAAATTAAAACCACAAATAGATACCACCTCATCTGTCAGAATGGCTATTATCAAGAAGAAAAAAAAAAAAAGAATGTTGGTGAGGATGTGAAGAAAAGGGACCTTTGTGAGCTGTTGATGGGAATGTAGATCAGTGCAGCCACTGTGAAGAACAGTACGGAATTCCCTCAAAAATTAAAAATAGAAGTGATTCCACTTCTGCGTATTTACCTGAAAAATACAAAAACACTAATTCGAAAAGATATACTCACCCCTATGTTTATTGCAGCATTATTTACAATAGACAAGGTATGGAAGCAGCCCAAGTGTCCATCAGTAGTTGAATGGATAAAGATGTGTTGTGTATACAAGATTGAATATTAGCCATAAAAAAGAATGAAATCTTGCCATTCGTAACAACATGGATGAACCCAGGGAATTATGC